GTGCCTTACATCACTGCTCTTATGTGTTGTCATCATTGTCCTTAATTCTTCACTCAAGTAATGACAGTCTTGTTCTTTAACAGGTCACACCGCCAACTTTAGTCCAGACGCAGGTGGAAGGAGGCTCAACCCTATTCAAGCTGGATTATTTTGGTGAAGAGGCATACTTAACACAATCATCCCAGCTCTATCTGGAGACCTGCATTCCAGCGTTAGGAGATGTTTTCTGTGTTGCTCAGTCATACAGAGCTGAGCAATCCAGGACCCGCAGACACTTGGCAGAGTATGGAGAGAGTATACATCTTTGTTATTTATGTATAAGTGAATTTATAAAGCAGGGGAGTAGCAGGTAGTTGGATGACATAATATACAGTAAGTAGACGGCATAGTAGTAATGCGGAAGGACTGATCAAAAGTATATTTGGGGGTAATACCTTGTCTCGGTGAATGTCCAGCTGGTCATAATACGTTGACATTTTGTGAAGGAAGATCTGGGCCAAACAGAGCTGATACATCTTTAGGAAGCTTTGTCTTTTTAGAAAATACAGTTCATACTGTTGTCTTCCTTACTTTTTTTTAAGGCTTTATTTCCTTTTACGGTGTAGAAGTGGGAGAAATGAAAAAGGGAACAAAAGCGTGTGTTCTTGGGTTGTGGGTTTTTTTCTCATGAGAATTTTTAGTTAAAGATTTGTTGCTTTTGTGTGGTTTTGTAATAGCATGACTTTGTGTTTCAGATATACTCACATTGAAGCTGAATGTCCTTTTATAAGTTTTGAGGATTTATTGGACCGTCTGGAAAGCTTGGTTTGTGATGTAGTAGACAGAGTCTTGAAATCACCTGCATCAAGCTTACTATATGACCTAAACCCGGTAGGCAGCAATGTGGAACAGTCACGAATAGCCAAGAAAATATGATCTTTAGCCTTTGCTGATCAGCACCTTCATCTGGGGAAGGCAGGGCATGGCAATGAGCTCTGCTTGCTTACTATTATTAATAATAAGAAAAATATTAAATAACATCAAAAGAATGAAAATGCTGCAAGGCTGGTAATGACTCTTGCAGAAGCAGGGAACTGTGGGGAAAGAAGTTCCCTGCTAGCAAGTTCCAGGAGCCAGCAATGTGCTGGGATTTATTGCAATGTGTACTGTACCAGTGGAATAAAAACCTGTATCCCAGAGCTCGTAATATTGATCGGCTGGTACTTGCAGATTGAGCACAAGGGAGCAATGAAACAACTGGTGTTTTACTTTCTACCCTGGAACATGGAGCTCTGTAAAGCTATTTTCATTTGTTAGAGACCCTTTGTCTTCTGTTGCCTTTGCAAAGAAGATGGCTTTAAGAGACTGCTAACTTTATCTACATTGCTAGCTTTTCTCGCAGAGCGCATACAAACTCAGTCATCCCTGTTATTTTGATCTGTTTTCCTGATAAACACTAGGAGGTTCAGTTTTAAATTTGAGCTGAGGTGGGGGCAGGAGGTAGGAAATAGCTGAAGCACGACCCACCTCACAAAGGCGGGTTCTGAAGCAGTTATGTGCACAGGGAAGCAAAAATGTTCTGTGGCTTCGCACATGGAACCTCTGCTAATGGCTCAGTTTGAAACACCTACATGTGCAATGAATTCATACAGAAAAGGAAACCGCTTTGAAAATACTTCCTCTCTTCTCTCTCCTGCCATCTTTTTCAGCGGCTGTTCTGTGAGCTTTGTTGGGCTTGGAAGATGGTTGTGTTTGGTTCTAGCTTTTCCATACTGAGACTTTTTTTTTTTAAGTAATAATTCGTTGATGTATGAGCTGGAAAGAGTAATGTGTATGCTTCAAGTCTGGAAGTGGACTTGCTGATCAACTAGAAAAGTGTTCTTTAAAAATGGTACTCTTCCAACTGTCTTTGTCTACTCTTATTTACAGGGCTTCAAGCCCCCTAAACGTCCTTTCCGACGAATGAACTATACTGAAGCCATTGAGTGGTTAAAGGAACATGGTGTGGAGAAGGAAGATGGCACTTATTATGAGTTTGGGGAAGTAAGTCTTTCTGAGGCTCTTTAGGAATTAAAACCAAACAAAATCCCATGGCCCTGCACTAAGGGTGTGTAAGTCCCTTGAAGAACAGTGTGTTTGGACGGTGATGCTATTTGGCTTACTCTTGCTGTGTGATTCTGTTGCTTTGTTTGGAATGATATCGATAAGGAGTGAAATTCTAGTCCCATTTAAGGTAAAGGGAGTTTTGCTATAAACTTCAGTGAGGCCTGGATTTTTGTCTGAACTGTGCTGGGAGGTGTAGTGACGTCATATTGGGGAATGCAAGTGTGGGCTGGGTTTTCACATAATGTCTTTGAACGTTGGAAACAAAATCTGTGTTGTCATCTGTCCATCTGTTCCCTGTCTCACTCTTCTCCAACATGTAAAATTATTTGGAGGAGCTCAAGAGGAGGTGGTGTAGCCAGAGTCATCAAAGGATTTAAGAGAAGAGAGATTTTTAGGAGGAGATCATATAATTGTTTAACTTCAAAGTCTACACAGCATATTCTGAGGGAACCTTGGCACAACATATCAAAATCAGATATGTTGGGGTTTTTGCTGTTACTGTTTTTCCCATCTGTATCAAAGATGATAGAGATGAAGGGAGGAAGAGGTCTTCAAACTGCACTGAACTTCAGGTTCCAGAGGAAAATAAGGATTCTCTCCTCCTCTCCCCCATTGCGGGCTGACACTTGCTTTGTGAAGCTGCCCTTGCACAAGGCCTGTGTTCCTTGTACTTCCCTTGCTGTGCATGCTATAGTTGGCTCCTTTCTGCCCCCCTTCCACAGCAGTCGGTGCTGTAGCAGTGTTCAGTCGGGTTAAAACAAGTAACAGGTGTGGCTGTTTTTTCCTATTAAGGAAAAAATCTAATCTTCTGACTTTAACTCAGAATCTAAGAAAAGTGTGATACCATTGGCTGAATAAAAGTTCAAATTAAACCTTTTAGGGATAGGCGGAGTTTTTTGACTAGATAAAGTGTGTTTGTTTAACAAGCCCTGATCACATCATTACTGATGTTCCCTGTCTGTCAGTGTAACTGTGGTGTCATCCTTCACTTCTCCACGGTTTTTAAACAATAGAACTGCTGAATCGATCAAAGTGAAACTTACGCTAGGTGTTTCACAATTTATCAAATTTCAGTCAGAAAACTTCGATAAAAAACAAATAACCTTGTCTATGTAACTGAACAGTTGAGGTTTTTAAAAAATATCCCATATACATAACAAGGAAACACTTAAACGTCTTAGTCTTAAGGTTTGTGGAAGACGGTATTGGGGAGGAAGGAGATTAGGCTCTTCAGTGTTTACTGGATGTTTGGAAAGTCTACGTTTCAGGTTAGGTTTTCCTCAGTTTTCTGTTTGAAACATTGGGAAGACTTGGATTTTAATTGAACAGATTTCCCCACCCCCGACATACATGTTTTTATATATAAATATAGTTTCTTCTAAGATAAGTTTGCTTTAAAAATTTAGGTACATTAGGACGAATGTCTGGATACGTGTGGTCTGAAACTGTCTTTGTTTCATGCCTGATACACGTGGAACTCAAGGTATTAGAGTGGTTTTGGTTTTAAATATTAATAAAGCCTTCTTTAACCTTAGGATATTCCTGAAGCACCTGAGAGATTGATGACAGACACCATCAATGAGCCAATCTTGTTGTGCCGATTTCCTGCAGAGATAAAGTCTTTCTATATGCAGCGCTGTCATGACGATTCCCGGCTTACTGAATCTGTAAGTTGGTATTTTACATAGTGTTGCAGGCTTCTAAATAGAGTGGGGAATGTCAGCATGAGTGAGCGTAAAATGAATAAGTACTCCAGGAAAATCTTGGAGAATTCTTACCAGGTTTTGTTTTGGGCGTCTCTTGGCATGGCTTGTTGACCCTATAGAAGTAAATGAAGCAACTCTGAAGTGCTAATAAATTGTCGGTAGATCATAGTGAGCATGCTCTTCAGTGACTTCAGGTAAGTGCTAGTCTAATGACAGTACTTCTGTGACTTCTTGGAGGCTCTATTGTCTAAACACTAGCTGTCTGGCAGCCAGGAAGAGTGGTGGTTGCTAGGAATGCTGCTGGGTTTGTGGTTTTGTGGTGGTTTGTGGGAGTTTTTTGTTTGTTTTTTACAGTTCAGTGTGGCCAAGAGTACTAGAGATTAAGCTAGAGCACCTAGTCAGTTAGTTTATTCCATCTATAAATTGGGTCTGGAAGGAATTGCCTTCTTTCCTGTCATGGAAAATTAAAATTACATGGTAAAATGTGTTATGGAAATACAGTTTCAAGTTTGGGCTATTTTTCATTGCCCTCCTGCAGGCAGCTTAATTGTAATAGTTTGATCTCATGTTGTGTGTTGTAGGTTGATGTGTTGATGCCTAACGTTGGTGAAATTGTTGGAGGCTCTATGCGTATCTGGGACAGTGAGGAGCTACTCGAAGGCTATAAGAGAGAGGGCATTGATCCCACGCCGTACTACTGGTATACTGATCAGGTTTGTAAAACAGATTAGATGTGCTGCTTGTCAGATATGATACTTGATTTCTTTTTTAAACTGCTCTTAAAATGATGCAGTCTAAATTGGAAACATTTTTGGTGGCCCAAAGTAGATAGTCATTTAACCATTGGCAAAATGCAATGGGTAACCGTTTCCATTCTGTTAAAACTGCTGCTGTTCGCTGCAGTTGCATGCTGCCCTTACCAGATCACCTTCATTAGACGGGTCTGTGCGTGTGTATTCCTCTCGTAATGTCTTCTGCAATGTGTGTGAAGCCCTTGTTGTTAGGTGGTTAGATAAAGAGAGGTTGGTCTTTACAGACTTGAATGGCTAAGCTCTAGCTAGTGTAAGGGGAGGAGAAAAGGAGGTGGTTGAAAACAAATCGTTAATACTTTGTTTCACCTTCCTTTTTCCTTTTCTAGTCCTTATACTGCCCCAGGAAACTCAGGACAACTAAGCACAAATATCTTGCCTGAAAAGAGCATAGTCCATTTTCCTCATCATTCAGAAAATAATCTTGGAAGGGTTGGATTTTTTTTTCTGGTGGTATTACTGCAATTATAATATAAATAACAAGAAAATGTTTAATATCTACTCTCTGGTTTTAATTTAACAGAGAAAATATGGTACGTGCCCTCATGGTGGATATGGTTTGGGACTAGAACGGTTCCTAACCTGGATTCTGAATAGACACCATATCCGAGATGTCTGTCTCTATCCACGCTTTGTCCAGCGCTGCAAACCTTAGCCGTCCTTGTGATAAACTCCTAGAAAATCGAGCAACTGATGCTTGGAAAAGAACGATACACTCTGCTATACTACAGCCTGTCTGAGAACAAGACTTACTGCAACCTGTTGCTAATACAAATACTAATTTAGGGCGTGAAAATGAAAATAAACAAAACCTTTTTTTTTTAAAGGAAAATGCTACTAATTAACTGGAAGAAGCCTTAGAAAAAATTATGTTGACTTGAGAGCATAAATGCACCTAAAACAAAGATTCTGATAAGTTGTCATTTAAAAAACAAGATACGCTTCTGCTTTTAATTTCTGTGAATTAAAAGAAAACATGCTGGGCATTTTTTTTTTTTAATTTGCTTTAATTTTAATCTGTTTTCTCTTGTGGTTTCTTGTTGGAGAAATCAGGAGTTCAGGCTCTTTGAATTCCCAAATACTGACCTGTGAGAATGGTATGAAGAGACATCATCCAAAGAGCTCAACAAATTATAAAAATGGGAATAATTATATTAAGTGCCGCACTTTTTTAGCTCCTACTGTTTTTAATGGAAGTTCTGTCTGAGTTTATTCAGTAGCAAGGTATGTAGTATAGAGCACACAATTCCACTGCAGGAGATGTGCGTTGTGGGGTGGGGTTTTTTGGTGGTGGTTTTTTTTTTGTTTTTTTACCAGATTATTTATTGGTTAGAAATGATGAGGCTGATGGTGAGGTATGCTTTGCTACTTTTTCCTGATACTTGTGGATGAAGCGCTATAGTGGGTCCGTGCACACCCAACCTGTGCTGAATTACAGTAGGAGGGGACATGTTGCCAGAGCACTGTCTGTTAGCTCGTGGGCACTGGGATGTTTGTGGTGCCTTCCAAATTAAGATTCAGCCGTCTGTTTCAAACCTGAAATGACTGATTGAAGACCCGAAGAAACAGGTAACTTTGAAATACAATTGGATTTCAGCATTGTATGCTGACTGAATTGCTGTCCCCTCTAGATGAATTGTAGTTCAAGCGGGGTTTTCCCACGTCATGCTGAAGTATGTTTTCATGGTAGAGCAGTTCCATGTTTCCTGGCTGGCTCCGTGTTCTCTTGTGCTACTGCATCTGAGCAGATTCTCTGGCTGTAATCAAGTTATCAAATAGGATTAATTGAGTATTTAATGTGTTGAGTCATCTGTATGCTTTTTAGTCATAAATAAAGCAATTCCTTTTACTAGAGAGGAAAAAAAAATGGTAGGTGCATCATTTGCTACCTGCGATGAGACTTGATCTGGATTTGCCATTCATAGAATTGTTGAGCTGTGCGTTATCCATATTTCTGTAATAAATGACTGGTTCTCTTCATCTTGCATGTTACATATATAAACTGGTCTAAATCGGCAACCAGTAAATTATGGCAACATAAGTTGCTGTGCAAGACAGTAGTTCTTGACCTGTAATGTCTGTTCCTTTCCTTTCACTTAGTCTTTATAGCTTACTTGCTTAATGCAGTCTGTCCTGGCATAGGCAAGATCTGTGTCGGCAAAAGCAGAGGAAGAGTGAATTTTCAAGTGCAGTAAACACATATTCCAAAAAATGGAACTACTTTTTTCTTTTTAAACTAAATCCCCATTAATTAACTTAAAGGCATGAATTTTTATAATTTGGATAGGCCACCTCAGCTGCCCCGTTGAAACATCCTAGAGAGAATAAATGAGAAATGCGGTGCTGAGTAATTGGTTGCCACGGCAGCAGCTCCAGGGGGTGCTGGCCATGACTTGTGCTGCTTGTAGCTGTGGCTGCCCAAAGGGAGGCCGGGTTTGCAAGCAGAGTTAACATCTGCCTCGCCGACTGCTACAGCTGGAAGAAGTGAGGTTATTTCCAGAGCTCTTAAACATCCGGATTTAATGTCTCGGGGGTTTTTTGGGGACCGCTGTGGCATTGCTGTGTGACCTGAGGGGTGCCCCTTTGAAGCAGGAGAGGTGAGTAGAGGCTGTGTGAGGATGAATGAAAGATGCTCTAAGAAATGAGCACTGCTAGGATGGCTTTCTTTCTTATCCACCTCTCTTTGAATTCACCCTTTTCACCTATTTTCCCAGTCCTTTTGTAGCCACAATAGAAAAGAATCTACAGAAACGTGCCTCAGCTCACTCACATTTGCCCTACTCTGTTTTTGATGGGTTGTTCTTTGTCTGAATGTAGAACTTAAAAGATTTTTAAATACCTGCAAAAGTATAGTCAACTGTAAATTTCCTGTGGTTTGGGGTATTGTTGCATGTGTGCTAAGTGCATAAACTAGAGGAAGAGGAGAAAAATTAACAAGCTTGACTGCAACAAAATGCTAGCAATTTCTTACTTCCAAACTTATATACTTGACAGCTTACTGACAGAGAGCTACAGGAAACATCACCCCAGTCCAAAAGTTGAACATGCTACCAAGTAGTAATCACATCCCTTCGGGGTTTTTTTTGTGGAATTTTTTTTGGGTGGTGTTAGTGTTTGGGGGGGCAGGGGGCAGAGCTCAAGAGGCTTCTGTAATTCAGAATATTTAGTCATGTCGAGCATATAAAGACTTCTTACAAAAAAAATTCCTTCAGGTGCCTGAAGTGATGGGAAGGGAGGAGAAGGGTTGGGAAAAGATACTACTAGAAAAGCATCACTTGTTGGCAATCAGTTTTCTGTCCTTAAAACTGGCAGGGCTGAGCTGCTTTGTAAAGGTTAAAAGCCTCCGTATCAGGGGAGCTACTAGAGGAAGGTCTGAGGACTTAAGAGGTGCTCGTGGAAGAGGCAGATCAGATAAGGAGCTTAAAAGGCGACTAGGATGAAAGATACTGTCGAACGGAGACTGCTGTGCAGTTCCATAATCTGCTCGTGGAGCAGAGGTGGTGCTGGGCAAACCACCTGCGTGGGAAAGATCCCTGAATTAAGCAAAAGCCTGTGCAAATCTACTGTAAGGAGAGTAATAAGGAGAAATTCCTTAGGCAGCCACTGAAACCTAGCCAACAGGAATGTGGTAATGTTGAAATGCTGCTTTAAAACAAACCTTCACTATGTTAAAAAGGACTGGTGTAGTTCCCGATTTATCATCGCGGCTCAATTTGGGGTTTAGATCATTAAGAAAAAAAATCAGAGATTGAAAAATGATAAATGTAGCTTGGTTTTATTTCTGTGTCCCATCAGTTGTGGTTTTGTATGGTGTCTTCTTTTTTTATTGTGTTCTTACAAAATTTGCTGAGTTTGATTATGTCTCCAGTGATTTAAAACTGATGATGACCCTGGGTGTTTCTGGCAGCTACCCAGAAGCCTGGTTTCCAAGCTCTCTGTCAGTAAAGCTTTTTGATTGTAAGTTCTTATTCAGGGCTGATTTAACCATGTTTGCTGCTTCACATGTTCTTTGGGCTAGCAGCATTCCCAGGTCCTGCCCACCTGAGTTCGATGTTTAAGTCCTCCTTAATACAAGTACTTTGTATATGTGGGCAATACTGATAAGATGCTGGGGGAAGCAAAGCAGCTCGTTGGTCTCCCCAGCCGTTAGGACTCCAGGGACTAGAGGGAGCCGCAGTTTCCTGCGGGCTCCATCGGGAATTGCTGTGCAGCTTACATCCCTCGCAAATCGTGATTGTTAGTACCAGCTCTCAGAAAGGCACTGCAGCTGCTTGCAATACAAGAATACTTGGGTTTATTTTTATTAGAAAGGGTAAACAAATCTGCAAAAGAGGAGAAAATGTGCAATCAGAACTTGGATTTCTCCTCATCCTCACTTTCATTTTCCCTCAAGGTATCTCCACACAGTCGAATTTGTAATTGGTAAACCGGGCTGCCAGCACTGGCTCCAAGGCTCCTTCAGCCTTGTACCTGGCAGCTTTGAGATCACTATTGTGTAGCCTTGTTTAGTTACATCTCCTTACGTGCATTATTTTATATTTATGTTTAAACTCATCTGGCCACCCTTTGTAAGGACCTTTTGAAGTTCCTTGCCAGTGGCGTGGCACTAACTACCCCAGAGAGCCCAGCATCCTTCACAAACTTGGCCTTTCTCCTCTTTGCTCACTTCCCTGCTGGGCAGCCGGGACCGAAACAGCCGCCACTCGCTGGAGGGGTGAGGAGAAGTGTGGTGCTGCCAGGCCTTGGAGGACGAGAGCTGGGTCTGCCTTTGGATGGTACATCTCTGGAGAACCTGCCAACCGGGAAATGAACCGATCCCATGGGGGGGTTCTGTTTCCCCGCCGCTCTGCCCTGGCAGCTGAGCTGCCAAAACCCCCATCGTTGTGTGATGAGCTGCCAGCCACCTCTCCCCCAGCTCCAAGAGAAGTGGAAGCTTAGGGACGGCTCAGGATTTTATCAAGCACAGGGACTTTCACTCGCTAGCGTAAGGTTTTGCTTTCAGATAAAGGTGGTGTCCCAGCACTAGGAGTCAGGTGGGGGGCCTGCAGGCCCCTCTGCCCCGCAGTAAGCAGGGCAGCCATGCGAGGGGCAGAGGCGAGCTGCCTCCACCCTGCGGGGTGCGCCCAGCCTGGGGAGAGGTGGTGTCTGCCAAGCCTGGAAGCATTGGGATGGGCTTTGAGGAAGCCCTGAGCTGCAGGCATGAGGGTGGGTGTGTCACACCCCTGGGCCCTTTCTGGCTTCCATAAGCTGTGCAGGGAGCGACTGAAACTGCTGCTGAGATGATGTGGGATGCAAATCAAACGTTTGTGCACAGGATTAACTGTTCTGGTATTTGTTCCTTCGTGTTTCTACCAGGAATGGAGGTTACCAGGCAAGCTCTGCACTCCTACTTGAGTGCGTCTGACGAGCCAGGAGCCCCAAGGCAGAAGTCAGGCTCTGCCCTGGTGTGGGGCTGCACCGCGGCAGTCTGTTCTGTGCACTGCCATTAGTTCTTGTTCCACCTGACGTGGAGCTCTTCCTGGCTGTCCTGCTCCTCAGGCACAGGTCCTGCAGTGCTGCTGTCTAAACTTATGACATGGAAAAGAGGGGCAAGGACTCAGTGAGAGCCCTAGAGCGCATGGAGCAAGTCAGCAGCAGGGCCAGCAGTACCTCCCTGTCCGCCCCCTCATTCCCCCCTGCCCCTGCGGTGGGATGGTGGAGAGAAGCTGGCTACTAGCTAGCTACTACGAAGAAAATTAACTCTACCCCAGCCAAAACCAGCACGTTCTCTGCTCCTTATTCCATACCATTTACATCATGCTCAGATCCCATACTATCCAATACATTCTCATTAACCACCACTCCTCATCCTTTGATGTAACACGCAGATATCATTCCCTTAGTCTACAGAACATCCCTGTAAAAGGTCCACCAATGTCCACAACATGTTCATTGAGTTCATTT